TGCATTCAAAAACTTTCTTTTTTATTCTTTAACCTTTTCTGATTATATACATACTATCAATTATTAACTGCAGCAAACCAGTATACTTACTTATAAAACATTTCCCTATCTACTTGTTAAATAATTTACTTTCATTAAAAATATGATTTTATAAGTTTTGTTTTGTAATTTGAAAAAATTTTCAGTAACAAAAGCGAACAACGTTTTGTTTTCTTTTTTTAGCATATAAATCTAATTTTTGAGCAATTTTTATTCTAATAATTACACGATTTATGATATGATAATTCTTTTATTTCATTTCAAACAGCTTTCAATTTGTTCTTTTCGCACATAATCAAATGAATTGTTATCCCTCAATCTAATTATCCCGCTGTAACTCACCACTAGCTTTTAATTATGCAACTACTTATCAAATAAATTCATGATTTAAAACTATGCAGTTAATGTTTCCCATCATACAACATCAGTAAATTGGGTTTAAAACCAAACTGGGCATATCTTTGCACTTATTTCATGCAAAAATCATTCCAAAAAGATCTCTGATAAAATAAAATTCGGTAAAATTTACTAAAATGCTAAATATAAATTAGTTAACCTTTTAATATTCAGAGAGAAGCTCAACTTTCACTTTGCTAATTTCATTGATAAATAATAATTTCTGTTCAAGAAGGATAAATTAATTGTCTAATGGTAAGGACGTTAAAGAAACTTTACTTTGAAAAATATAGCAACAAAATTTTGTATTCAATGTATTTCTAGATTTGGTGTTAAAAATCATTTATAACATTGTTTGTACATGTATTTCTTAAAATCTCAATTCATATGAGAGTAAAATTTTGAAATTTTCCTTTGTTTCAAATTATGATATAAAAATTTTTGTAATTTTAATATACGGCAGCATGAAATTTTAATAGCTATCAAGTATTGTAGCTTTCGAAATTCCATGCTGAATGAGGATGTCAACAATTATTAATTCTAAAACAAGATACAAAATAAAGTAAATGAAATTTTCAAACATTAAATTAGGATAAATTGGCTTTAAAACTGTGAAGCATTCAAAAACTATAAGGTGCAGATTCCGAGCTTTTCATATATTTCTATTTCTTGAACGAGAAATATTGATTGAGTTTCATTTTTGGCAAGAGCGAAATTGATTTATCTTCAATTTGAATTGAGATCTATTCGATATGGCGTTTTTTTAATGCATAAACTTAGTCATCATTGAAAGCCTAAATCTGCGAAAATTTCTTAACTTAAACGAACACTGACAGTTTGCGTTTTAAGCTCATTCTCTTATTACTTTTTTCAAGCAGTCGCAATTTTTGTTCATTAACTTTTTCAAAATGACCATTTTGCACATTAAATTTTCAAAAATAATTATTAAATGATTCAAAAAAATCTGAAAAACAACGATTTTTCAAAGTATTGCAAATGAAGTAATGATAATTTTTTACCTTTCAAATACGTTTATAAGAATAAATGAGTGGTTAACAGCATACTTTGTCCAAAATATTCTTCAGTTGATATTCTGTGTTTACAGCTTGAGAATGGTTGATATTATGGTAATGCTAAGCGATTCATTTGATGGTGACGTGTCATCTATCCTCATTTTTGCTTCTAAAACACTTTTTGATGTAATTTATTCATTAATATACAAATTTTACTTAGTTGAAATATTGCAAATGATTGAAAAACACATTAATTACTGTTTGGCAGCATCACTTTATATGTTTCGAAAAAATTTTGCTAATTACTCTATTGCGTTAGGTAGTGCTTGAAATTTTACAGATGAAATATAATACTTGCTTCATCCATCACTGACTGCACATTTGTTTTGATAGACCAAAATCTCAATCAATCATCACTTTTAACCAATATTATCTGCTTTTTAGTTTTTTACATATTTCAGAATGTCTTTTCAATTTGCGCCTATTAATACTGAGAATTGTTTATTGATGTAATAATTTGAATAAATTAAAGTAATGTTAGATTTAATCACTCTGATGTAATGCTACATCATTCACTGTGATTAGTTTTTGTCGGAAATCAATAGTACTAAAACTTATGCTGATTTTGGATTATCAATTCAGGTTAAACAAACACTGATGAATTGATGATCGACTTGAATAATGTTAGGAAGGATCTCAATGAGAACATTCTTTAAATATTTCCATCGTATGATAGAACAACATAGAAACAAAAGTAAATAATTCTTTACTCTCAAGACATTATATGCATATAAAAAGTTTACAAACTTAGAAATGAACTGAAAAGCTATTAAAACAAACGCGGAAATCAAGAAATTGATTTTTAAAATTTATATTAAAATGAGATCAAAATTGGTGGACGAAAAGTAGCTTGAGCTCAGTCTTTTGTGCTATCTTCAGTTTTTCAATTCATTGAAATTTTTTCATAAGAATTTTAATGATTTAAATGCAAACAGCTTACTGCTTCAAAAATGCACTTTTATGATTTGAGCTTTGTTTATTAGACTTCAAAAAAGCAAAACGGAATTAGAAAAATTGAATGAATTATTTTTTTTGTTTTGTAATGAATTTATTGAATAATTTATTTGTAACAAAATAGGGATAAGCGATGACGTCCTATTTAAGTGCTTAAGTACATGTCTAATAAAATAAGTATATTAGTACTGCAATTTATAACATAACTTTAAAAATTATGTTTTAATTGGAATGAATTGACAATTATTCTTTCTTATATACATTAGTTTGTTTGACTTCATGGATGACTTAGCCATTTTAAATGCAACAGGATTTTTGTTGATTTTACTACTCTTCAGTAATTTATACAAGTATCTTGAAAGTTTTAATTTATCAGAATTATATAGAAATATTTATTAAACAGTACTTGCGAATGCATATATAAATTAGCATATGAGAAATATGAGTTTTAGGACTAAAACCTTTTAATTTAAAATTTGCATATTAATATGAATTCTTTAATAAAAATTGATAATAAATAGATGCATATTTACGCACAAAATTAGATACTGTAGATATGTACTAATGATTTTGTGAGCCATTGTTGAAGCGATCGAAACGCTATAAGTGTATCATAATTAGCAGCAATTTAGTAACTTTTTTAATACATTCACTTATTGAGTGCAATTGAAAACTGAAAGATAATGATATCGGAAAGGTCAAAATTATGTGCACTGCCTCTACTCCGTTTTGAGCTCCAAAAATCCGTATAATTAGAGCAAATATTTGTGTAATATACGTACGTTTTGTTTGATATAATTAGATAATTTTTAAGTGTAAAAGTACTTCCAGCTATTGTAGTAAAAATCATGGAGAAATAGAAGTGCTTATTATATTGACACTTCTCTCGAAGATCACTGGAGGTCCATTTTTTGCGCAAAGAAAGATATGACGGAAAAGTTGTAGATGAGAGAGTATGAAAATTTCAGAAGATAACATTAATCATGTAGTTCTGCAATTGAAATCGATTATCAGAGTCAGTAAATGAATAAAATGGCAGAAGAAAATCCGCTAAAATCAAAAAATGCTTAATTTTTAACAATATTAATGAATTTGAGATAAAAAAAGTTATCTTAAATTGCAGAGATAGAATAGAATGTTAGACGAGGTTAAATGACTCATTTAACTAAATTTAAAATTTAAAGAGAAGAACATTAGCAGCAGTAAAGAGAGCATTCAGAAACATTTTTTCACTTCATTTAAACTTTTTATCTCAAAAAAAGGATATGATGTAGTTGAGAAAGAAGAGTAACGAAGTTAAAAGTATTAGAAATAAGATACAGAGGGATTAGGAAAAAGCAAAGGTGTTGAAGGTTAAAAGCACTTATTTTTAGAGCGGAGGTAGGAATTGTTGCAGTGCAGAAGTTGGTGTAGCACACTGCGTAAGTAACGATGCCAAGAGGAGTCAAGCATTACTGCTTGCAGCATAGATGTGATTTTCAGCTCAACTTGTGGAACTTTGAAGCTTTTGCTATTTCATTTTCTTCACCAACAATCCTCTTCATTTTGCATCTCAACTCTAACCTATCATTCTTATTCTTATTCTTATACTCATTCTTCTTCATCTAATTCAAACGTTGCTATTTTACTTTCTGACAACGCGCAATTACTTTCATTTACTTTTTACTTCATTATCTTGTTTTGTATTTGAATACACTTCACTACGTTCCATAACTAGTTTTATACTTAATTTTATGTAGACACTTTTATATATTTTAAGATAATATCGCTAACGAATATCACAGCGCCGCTGTATGCGAATCAAAATTTGGTATTTCAATTTAACGAATCTTGCATGTGGCTTTTTCAAACGCTCTTCCTGAAATTATAAATTATATCAGAAAGGATTAGAAGTAAGTCAGAGTGGAACAAGATGCCTGGAGCGCCACGATTCACGCAGAAACCATCTATTCAACAAACTCCTCAAGGAGATTTGTTAATGGAATGCTGTTTAGAGGCTGATCCACCTCCCAGTATTGTATGGTACCATGCTGGCACTCCAATTCATGCTGGGCCTCGCGTAGAATTTATACTTACAAACTTGCAGTCTAATCTTTATAAGGCAATTTTAATTATTAAGGTAATCATTCATTTCTTAATATAACAAACAGTGATTAGTACAATTCATTTAGCACTTCCAAGTCTTTTACTTAGCTTTTCAATTTTTACTATTCATTATTTCAGTGCTGTATAGAATCCACTAATCTATTCATTTATTTATCAAAATAAATGTGTAAATAAAATTGCTTGTTTTGCTAATTTCTTTCTCTTTAAAGTATTTTAAATTTAAACGGCATGTTCTATGTAGCCAAACTTTATGAAAGCTAAACATTTAAAATTTAACAAATTTTACAATAATAAATATGCATAATATTTATTTAACCTTTTACTAGCTCAGTCTTCTGGTGCTGATGCTCAATTTTTGAACCACAACTGTATTTTTTTTGTTTAAATAAGAAACTGAATAATCAAAGTTCAAATCACTTATCTGTGAAAACTGTGGCTTTTTTTTTAATTTAAGGAATATCAAGTTCATATTTTGTTGTTTCAATTTATGCTTTATGAATTTTGGTTTAAATTCAAATTATTCCAACTGTATGACTACAATTATCAAGAAATATGCAGTTTACATTCATATTTTTATCACATAATAACTATCAAATTAAAACTTATCTAACGCTTACAAATTATTCCTTGTGTCATAAATATCATTTTCATTATTATTTGGATGATAATTTTTGCCACGGTCCTTGCAAATTTTATCACTGTTGTTTGAAAAAATGAAAGTAGTTGAGCTGAAAGAGTTTCTCCCAAATGCTATTTATTACAACAGAAAATCAATCTTCCGTTCAATTCAATATCGCTTATAATTTCAAATATTCTTTTCAATATGTTTTTGATGCAGTCAGTCTCGTTCATTAAAGAAGAGTAAATACATTATGCCAATAGTTTCTAATTGTATCTCAAAGATCAAAATCAAAATTTGAGAAAGTAGCAGTCGTGATTTCAGCTGATCAAGGTTGAGACACGGCTGTTAAGATAATTTAGACGCTCCTAAATCAAGCAAATATTATCAAATGTTCATTTAAATTTTGTCTTAAAATAGCACTATTGCTTAATTCACTTTTGATTATATCAAAAAGTGATCATTTTTTATCACTGACCACTTTTTTCTTCCTGTTAATATTTAAAATTAGTAATGTGATTTCTATTAATAAGCTCATTTTCTCTTCTGTCATCCGTCTCGTTCCTTAATGAACAAAACTGCAACCATCTTTGGTCTTCAAAAACGAATTCGTAGTTTGAGACAAAATTCTGTCATCTGAAGTTCTTTTCGCTAACAATCCATATGGAAAAGCTCATAATACTTGTTTTTGAAGTACAAGACAGCATTTCTCACTATGTGATTCTCCCTTAAATCAGTGAAATAAATTGCTGCTATTTTCAACAAAGTTGCTGTAGTTTAGATCTAAATTGTTATGGTACGCATAAAATTTGCATTACAAACGCACTGCAGTGATGTTATAAATATGTAATAATTATAAGTAATTTTAGTTTCCTTGAAGTAACTACAGAAAAAATCAATAACATATAGTTCTTGTTTTGCAAAAAAAAAGGAAACATTTTCATATAATTGTTGTGGAGTTCAATTTGACTAATAATGCGTTGTATTGTCTTATTTCTAATATGTAAATTTATATGCTGGACTAGAAATCATCTTTCGTGCATTTTTTAGAATAACACGAAATATTTCTTGTAATGACTGATTATACAATAACATTACAATAATATTGACTTAAGCTATATTTTCAAGAGAGTAAGTGTAATTAATGTATAACAACTGCATAATTGGTACACAAGAAAATTTTTTGCAACCATTACTTGCTGAATTAAGCATTCTACTGATCAATTTGGTCAAAAATCAGTCTAATAACAATAGATCGGAATTTAATCTAAAGTGACCAGAAATTTCCTTTTTTTTCTCTGTAGTGATTTTTTATAACTTAAATTACAGAATTTATAAGTTAATTGAATATTCAAAATATATTAAGGAACCGAATGTTGGTGATGGCGGTGCATATAAATGTACAGCAAGCAATCAATTTGGTGAATCAAATGCAAATATCAATCTTAACTTTGCAGGTTGAAAATTTAAAAAAAATTCTAATATTAATCTTGGAAACTATTAAAGTTTAAAGAATTTAATTTGAAGACAGCAACCCAAGCCGATGTTTATTTAACGCAATCGTTTGTTGCCAATAGTTAGAGAAATGAACATCTTCCAATTGGTATTTAATGAACGCAATTTTTTATAAGTCAACAAAATATTTCAAGTTAAATTATTCACTGATAAATACTGAAGACATGTAAAAGTAATCTTTCTGAATGAAATGAAACGATTTCATTGTCTGAATATTAAATAAGCAGCTGAAGAGATATTCTAATGCATTTTGAATAAATAAATGAGCTTGGCAAATGCAGACTTCATTCATTTGTGAAGAATATTTTGAGTAGTTCATTTTTTTAAATGCAGTTTTTAAATAGTTACAATACGGCTGGCTGTAAAGCAAGTAAAGAGAGAATCACATTTAAAACTATTATTATAATTGACTGAGCTTTTTCTGTTTATATTTTATATTCTTTTTGCTCATATACAAATATTAACGACTATAAATAAACTTTATTAGTTGTATAATTAAGTTTCCAAGAATCATTGTAGCAGTTGTTATTTAAAAATATCAATGAATCGAAAAAAAACTATCAAAAGTATAATCTTTTTTGTGCGTGAAATTTTGTAATACATAGAAAGAGTTAAAAGGAAATTGAAAGCAAATCATGAAAAGGAAGTTTTATTTTTGTTAATACTTTAGGTGGTGAAGAAGAGGAGAAAGAAATAGCAAAAGGACCGACATTTCTTGGTAAACCAAGAATAATTCCGAAAAATGATGGAGCTTTAATTGTAATGGAATGTAGGGTAAAAAGTGCATCTAAGCCACATGGCACGTGGTATAAAAATGGCGTACAAATCCATGAAAGTCCTTTGTACAACATGTTTTTTGCAGAACTCGAAGACTCAACATATCTCTTACAATTAAAATTACATGTTAGTAAATTTTTCTATATGATAAAATCCAAAATTTACTAAAATTGTCAAGTAATTTTGCATATTTTTAAAGATTTGAAAAAAGTGATGATTGATGATTACGATTTAAATAAGTTACGTAAATAATATTTAGTTTCATTTTAGAATCCTGTAGCAGAAGATGCAGGACAGTACAGATGCAATATTAAAAATGATCAAGGAGAAACAAATGCAAATTTAACATTAAATTTTGAACAAGAAATCGAGGAGCAAGAAAAACTTGATAAAAAAGACTCTGCTTCATCACAGCCTGGATCTCGGCAAGGGTCGAGACCAGGTAGATTAATCTGATTGTTTTTAAAATGATTAAATCATAAAAGTCAATAAGACAAGCTTAAAATGAAGTAAAATTTAGGTTCACCAAAGAAACAATTAAGATCTCGGGAAGGAACTCCGAAAAAAACACTGAAATCTCGTGAAAGTACACCAAAAAAATTGTCCCGATCAGGAACTTCAACACCTACGCAAGAGGTGGAAACAACTGCTGGCGATGCCACAACTAAAGTTTCCGGTATTAAATCAGAACAAATGGAAATTGATGGCAGTAAGTATAGTTTTTCAGGAATAAAATGATATGAAAAATATTTGAGTATTTAAAGATGACAGATATTTTTCAGACAAGTTCAAAGTAGAGCAAGTAAATTAAAGCTGTTTGCAGCAACTGTTATTATAAGTTTTTTAGAAAAAAAGGAAGAAATCTATCAGCTAATTTGTATAAAAACTTTGCACACCTCCTATAAAGATTAATTCAAATGTCTATTTGAAATTTTTAAAAATTTCAATAATGAATCAACCAGAGTAAAAAGATAAACAGAAAATATTTTTTTAAATTATTTTCCACCAAGTGATAAGTGTATAGCACTTATATATCACTTAGTAGAAGATAAAGATTTTGAAGGCAGACCAATTCGCTCTTTTCTATTTAGCAAGTACAAAGCGAAAAAGTAAAACAGCTCTTCCACCGACTGAAAAGAAATCACGACAAAAATCACCGCGATATAAATCCAAATCACCACGACTTGAAACTCCTCCGCAAATTAACGAGGAGAAAAGCAATGCAAAAATAGATGAAAATTTAACACATGCAATACCGACTACTAAAGCAGACGAAAATTTAATAATTGACAAAGAGAATAAAAGTTTAAGCGCAGATACGAATGAATTAGTGATAACTAGTGCATCAAATGAAGCTCAAGAAACGTTGCGTAAAAAAAGTGATGCGCAAAAATTCTTGCACACGTCACTCGAGGAAGATATGAAAAATAAAGACAAAATAGAAGCTAGAAGAAAAAAGAAGTTAAAAACAGAAACTGAAGAGTCTATTTCGGAACCTCGTGAAGAAAAGTCGAAGAAGTCACCATTAATTAGTAAAATCAATCAAGCAAAAGAAAATGGAGTTGATAATACAAAAACTTCAACAAAAAGTAAAGATCGAGCTCCTGTTGTAATTGAAAATGCTAAATCAAAGGTTAGTAACACGTTACAAATTTTTACGCTAATTCCGTTTGTTAAGTATTTTTCCAAAAATTATTAATCAAAGAGAAACGTGATTCAAAATTTGCCGTACACTTATGTAAAGTTAACTAGCTTTCTGTTTATGCCTGAAAAATAAAACTTATCATTATATTATAATGAGTGCATTTATAAATGTACATTGAGATCTTGAACCGATCTCACTTTACGCTCTGAAATCACTGCGATATTTTTCAGAGTGCTGGTGAAGGTCAAACTGTTATGTTAGAATGTCAGTTCATGTGTGATTCAACTACAAAAGTTTTTTGGCTCAGGTATGTTGCTTTCATCAATAGCATTTTCTACTGACTTTATTTATATAATTACTGTTATTGAAGAGTGACAAGAGTAGTATTCTAAAAATAATTCACATGAATACAAAAAATTAATGTGTGCCGCATTTTTCCCGCATTTCTGATTTGAATACGAACAAAATTATAAGTACTTTCATTTATTTAGTTATTATCACTTTTTATTTACTGAATCTAATTGTTAGGAATGGTCAATCTGTACCAGTTTCGTCGGATTTCAAACAATCTTTTGACGGTAAAATTGCTCGCCTCACTATATCAAATATTACTAAAGAAAAATGTGGATCATTTGATTGCATAGCAAAAAATAGTGTTGGCGAAGCAAGTAGTTCAGCTGCAGTTAAATTTGAACATTCTGGTCAGTTCAGTCATCATCAGAAATGTAAATTAAATTTACCTTCAAAAAATCATTAATGGATAATTAATGAATTGCAATAATAATTCCGCCAGAAGCTTCTCACCAGTCTTACAGAAAGTATAAGCTTAATTTATGTACCAATTATCAATTTCATTTATTTCCAGTATTCTTAAGCTTGAAAGCGTATTTTTAAGAAGAGAGAAATTTGAAAAAGCGACGTATTGAAACTGACACGTCTGAAGCAGAACAAATGGATCAAAAAGCAAAGGGAATAAAAATGAAACAAAGATTGGAAACAGTGAAACATCGTGATTCAAAATTAGAACCCGAAGAAAAAGTAGTAAATTCTTTCAGTTTGCATTCTATTTACAGCGAACTTATTGTGAATAAACATTTGCAAGAAAAAATTCTAAACAATCCTTTTAAAGCTTAATTTTTAAGAAAAAAGAGCAAAAAATAAAATTTATGACTGATAACTTCACTCTTAATATCTTTCTAATTTTCAAATCCTCTTCACGCTACTCAAGATGACAGTATGAGAACTTATAACAGGCTTAGAAACTTTAGAAATCACCAAAACTGGAAAACAAATACCCAACATATAATGAAAGCTAAAAAAAATTGATGCTGTTTTAGTCGGGGATCTCGGAGCAATAAGTCATAAATTAAATCAAAAAATTTACAAAAAAGAATCTGATTTCTTCTTAATTTATAAAAATAATATTTTCTAGCAGGCATTTTAGCAATATAAGGCATACCATTTTAACTTATTCAGCTTAATAGAATTACGGACTTTAATTGCAGGTTGGATTACAAGGAAGTAAAGAACCCATGGGTATAATGCAAGATGATGGCGGAGGTTCGGAAGAAGAACGGTCGGAATCTATTTCGGAATTACCCTCGATATCAGAATTGAGCCGAAAAAAATCAGCAATGGTAAAGCAATATTTTCCTTCAGTATCTTAAATAATATTAATTGTATTTTAATTGGAAAAATTTTATCAATATAGGGCTCGATTATTGTCGCATGAAAGTTTTTAATGAACTGCTTCGGACGATATTTATTTTAGTGATTTTTTTGAAATATAAGAAGATTTTACCAAAATACCTCGCAACAATACAAATCATAATATTTTGTATTTTTGATTTTGCTTGCTTTCAGTCTGATCAAAGTTCATTAAAAACATCAGGAAATGCCAAAGCGAACAGAGTATGAATTCTAGAAATTTCTAATAAATTTTAGATTTATCATCTAAATGGTTAAAATTATTAGCCGTATTTTTGATGCATTCTGAAAGCACATAAAAGAATAACACTAAAATTTGGAAAAAATTGAAGTATTTGCAAATTTTTATCCATTATTCATAAGTCCTTCGTTGACTTCTTGATCTCAAAATCAAAATATTGATCAAGTTTTTTCAGACGAGATTGAAATTTTTGCTTGAACAAGCAAATCGCTTCAAAAATCCAAGATTATTTGATTTTGTTGAAAGGCATTAATTTGTACCAAATATTTTTATCAGAGGCGCAGTAGTGTCGATATGCGTCGAGAAAATTTAGCTGGCGAACTTCTGGAAAAAATATCCACACCTCTAAATAATACAGGACCAGAAGGTCCACCAAGAATTCTTGAAATACCTGAAAACGTTACAGTACCAGAAAGTATGTACACTGATGCTACTAAGCACTAAGTCTTATTTGAAATATATAAGAATATGAAATTTATTTTTGAAATCTGCTGAACTTCAAAATTTTCATTCAATTCATAAGTTTGTTACAGATGAAACTGCTGTTTTGAAGTGTAAAGTTGGAGGCAATCCAGCACCTACATTTAAATGGAGCAAAGGACTTCGAGAGGTCAAGATTACTATCATTTTAATAATATTAAGATGATTAAAGAAATAGCATAATAATTGAAGAAAATATATTCCTGAAAGAATAAGTCCAGTGCATTCTATGGCTTGAAAATTCAGATTCCTTCTGGTGGCCGCTTCCGAATCGTTTCTGATAAGCAGGATAATTCTGTATGTCTTGTGATGCAAAAATGTAGGTCACAGGATGATGGCTCATACATGTTAACAGTTGAAAATAAGCATGGAAAAGATTCTGCAGCAGTCAAATTATTAGTAACATCAGAAGCTGGTCTTGATTTTAGGTCAATGTTGAAGCATAGGTGAGTTATTTTTTGCAAAATGCATATGTAAGTGTAAAGATTTAAAGACTAAAATTTATCGTGGAAAAAAACTAGAAAATAGGTTTGCACTATAATAGGAAGACATTGAATTTTTAGTTTAATAGTGAAAAAATTAGAATGCACGATTTTCAGAGATCATGAAAATGGCGGAGAAGAAGAGGATGAAAAAAGTGTATCTTTGAAACCGAAAGAGAAACCAAAAAGTGAAGCTGAACGTCGTCAGTCATTGTTTCCAGGCAAAAAAGTTGAAAAATGGGAAATACCTCTAGAAAACAAAACTGTTCAGCAGCAAGTAGATAAAATTTGCGAATGGAAATGCACATATTCTCGGCCAAATGCTAAAATTCGATGGTACAAAGATAAGAAAGAAATTTTCAGCGTTAGTATTTGAATATTTTAGACGCATTATTAAAGAGTATTGAAATAATAATTGATATGCGCAAATAAGCTTAAAATTGCAGCATTAATAATCATAATTGATTAAGGGTGGTTTGAAATATAAAATTGTGATCGAGAAAGCCGTTTGCACGCTAATTATAAATAATCCTGAAGTTGATGATAGTGGACGATACACTTGTGAAGCAAATGGATTACCAACAACGGCTATTTTAACTGTGGATGGTATGTAATTTATGGGATTGATGACAAAGTTCTTGAAAATGTAGAATGAGTCTAGTTATTGTGCATTTGAAAGAAAATGCATAGAAAAGAGTCTGACTGCTAAAATATCCATTAATTTTTGTAGAACCACCAATGAAATATAGCTTCATCGCACCTCTTCCAAATACACAGGAAATATATCGAACAAAGCAAGGCATTCTTACTTGCAAAGTAAATAATAAGCGTGCGCCACTTGTCTGGCATCATGAAGGCAAACCAATTTCGTTAGTTTCATTTTTTTGATGCATTATAACTATGATGAGAATTTTGACGATTTGATCATATTTCGAAAACTGATATTTTGAATTACAAATGATATTTTTTGAGAACATATAAGAAATTGATATTATTTTAGAGAAACAGATAAGCGCTTTCTGATTGAAAGTGATGCTGTTGGTCGATTTACTTTGACCATCAAGGACGTTATTATAGAAGATGCTGGTGAATGGATGGCAAAAATTAGTAATGAAGTTTACAGCAAAGTGCAAATATATGTCGAAGGTAAAGCCTAGTAAATCATAAAATTGAAATTTCAGTATTATGGTATTGGTGTAGGAAATAATTTATAATTCATTAACTTTAAATAGCCTGAAAAGTTCCGAAATTATATTTGTAGTTAGCAGTGTTGAGAAGTAAATTTTTGCTTAGTTCTTTAAAAATTAACCTTAAAATTATAAGTAAATTTTCATTAGAAAAAATTCTTTTACATTTTACTCATATAGTTTATGCAGGTTGATGTGTTTTGCCTAACTAAACCAAACAGTTTTGAAAGATTTTTCAAGTTTCAAATTATACTAATTGGTTGTCCAATAGTTAAAACAGTATAAAATAGTGTGAAATTGTAAATGAAAATTTTTTAGAGCCACGACATACATTTGTCATTCCACTCAAATCACAAAAAGTCTTGGAAAAAGAAAGTACAGTATTAGAATGTGATGTAAACGATAAAGATGCAGACGTTGAATGGTGGCATGATGGAATGAAAATTAAATTAGATGGTAAAAAATTCATTGCTGAAAGCCATAATCGCAAGCGACGATTAATTATTAACGTTGCTAAGCTGGAAGATCATGGAGAATATAAGTGTACTACAAAAGATGACCAGACAATGTCACAGCTTATTGTTGATGGTCTATTTTCTTTTCTTTAAAATGTATACAATATAATATTCGTATAAGACGATTTATTTAGGATTGAAGAAATTTTTCTGAATATTAACGTAATGATATTTTTCAAATTTATTTTCTAAATATAAATTTTTAAAACACACTATTTCAGCGCTAAACGTATTTACTGTACCACTAACTGACATGGAAGTTATCGAAAAAGATGATGTTTGTTTGCGTTGTGAAACAAAGGTAAAAACTGCAAGGTTTTCGAGCATAACTAAGCGATGAATTGGATCCTATCAAAGTATTATAAATGCAATATTTTTTCAGGACAATAAAACTCCAGGCGTGTGGACAAAAAATGGGAAAACGATCACATCGAAACCTGGTGGAAAGTTTGAAACAGTATCAAGACAGGGCGTGCATACTCTTAAAATTTCAAAAATTGAGCTTTCTGAAGGAGACGTTTACGAAATTAATGTTGCTGGTTTAGAAGGTTCGTGTGTTATCACTGTTTTGGAATCTGAGAAACGACCGGTAATGAACTGGAAGCCCAAAAAAGTATGTTGCTTATTATAATTTCATATGGAATTGCTTTTAAAGTATTTATAACGTTCTGTTTCAGCCACTTTTTCATTAATTTCAAATGCTTTCAGATTGATATGGAAGCAGGAAAACCAGAAGAAATTAAAGTTCCGTTTTCCATCAAAGGTACTCGAAGAGGTGACCCCAAACCGGTATTATATCGAGACGGTAAACCAGTAAATATGGATTTGATTAAGGATCTCGTAGAAGTTGTAGTGAATGGTGATGTCGCTGAGATTAAGTTCAAAGTTCGTTTTTTGTGTAATCATAATTCTTTAAAATGTATGTAGGATTATTGAAAATTTGACGAATTGTTTTATGAAAAATTTTCTTCCAATTACTTCTGATTCTCAAAATCATTTTTCAGTTTGTTAGTAAGCTAAATTTTAGTCAGGCACTGCATATGAGATAATTTTGACTTCAACAGGCATTATTGCAACAAAAACCAAGATATACAAATTATGACAAAAGTTAACATTGCTTCTTCTTGAGAAGAGTGCATCTAAAAACTGTTTTTATTCGCTTTTAGCAATGTTGCAGTATGAAAAAATCAAAAAATTGCCATCAAGTCCGTTTTATAATCTCTGCTTTGAATGTTTGTGACTAAGACAAAATAATATATTATACTTGTTAACTTGCTCGTAAACATAAAAACGACAGAGTTATAATCAGAAGTTACATCTTTTGTGAATCATTTATCACTGAGTTCTAAGAGTCTTGTATTCATTTGAAAACAAAATTTGCCAATATTCAAAATTATAACACTTTTAATGACAACCTTTTCATCCAGAAGGGAAGGACGAATTGAATTTACTGTTAAAGTAAATAAGTGTATTAAAACTGTAGATTACTTAGCAGCAGTCAAAAAAAAAAAACAATTATTCATATAATGATGATTCAAAAATCTGAATTTTTCAATTTTAAGAATCCAAAAAAAGAGGATACTGGAAAATGGGCACTAGAACTTAGCAATTCTGGTGGCACGGCACTTGCACCATTCGAATTATTTGTCAAAGATAAGCCTAAAGCACCAAAAGGACCACTTGAAACCACAAATATTGATTCAAAAGGATGTGATTTGAAGTGGAATGTACCAGATCCAGATGAGAATGCTCCTGTTCGAAGCTTCATTGTCGAGATGCAAGAAGGTGATGGAAAATGGACCAAAATCGGAGAAACGAAACAAACTGAATTCAAGGTGTTTTATTAAAATAGCTATTGTAAATGTTTGCCTTATAAGAGAGTAAAACTGTTCCTAATGAAAGCAAATTATTATATTTTTAAAGAAACTATTGATTATGAAGTAATCTCGTCAACTTTTTATTTATTATTATTAATATAATAAAAAATTCGCAAATATTCACTGCAAAATTTTTACTTACTATTCATCACTTACTGAATGAAATTTTTATTAATTAAGGTGAAAAGTTTGAAAGAAAATGGTGAATACAAGTTCCGAGTAAAAGCCACAAATGATGTTGGTGCATCAGAACCACTCATTAGTGAAGGAATAGTAGCCAAAGATCCGTACAGTAAATTATTTTAACCTTTTTTAATACAATCTATGCCTTATTTTCATGATTTATTACTATGATATTGTAAATGGCAATAAGTTTCATGTGTTGGATTTCAGAGGTTCCGGGAAAGCCAAAAAATATGACAGCAACTGATATTGATAAAGACTCGCTAATACTACAATGGAAAGCTCCTGATAATGATGGTGGTGCGCCTATTGAAAAATACATTGTTGAAAGAAGAAATAAGTCCGAAAAAGAATGGAATGAAGTTGGTGTAGTACCATCATCATCTGAAGAAAAAGATGTCTTCACACTTCTGGATAATACAGTTGTTGAAGGCAATGAGTATTATTATCGAGTTCGAGCAGTTAATAAGGCTGGTGCAGGGGATCCATGCGATCATGGAAGAGCATTTTTGATCACTGCACGACCAGGCAAGCTGTTTACAATAGTATCTAATGATTCTACTGATTTTCTAATTTTTAGATCCACATCAACATGGGCTTGTTGTAAAGGCATTAGAATAATTTAAGCAAAGAAACTTCCACTATAGTGATTTGCATTTTTCAGAACCACCTGGTTTTCCAAACAATGGCATTTGGGATTTAAAATTAAAAGTTGGTGAGACAATCAAATACGACTTAGTGATAGTTGGTGAACCGGTACCGGAAGCAATCTGGGTAAAAGATGACAAACTAATAAAACCTGGTGGTCGCTGTAAAATGATTACGGAACGAGGCAAACATCTTTTCAAGGTTTCTTGATACAATTATTATAGATTATGCTACAATAGTCAAAAATACTAGTCTTTAAAAAAATTTGATTATAAATTCATCACCATTATAGGTTGAAAATGCTGAAAGAGCTGATTCTGGAGAATACATGTTGACTCTCAAAAATGATAATGGTAAATGTGATTCGAAAGCAAGAGTTACTGTTGTTGGCCGTCCAAGTCCACCTAAAGGGCCTTTAGAAATTTCGGATATTTGTGGTGATGGTGCTACATTAGCATGGAATCCTCCAGATGATGATGGCGGTGAACCTATAGATGGTACATTTTTGCAAAAGTCATTTCTTACATTCTTTCAAGGAGTATTCACTTGTTTTGATAAGATTTTGTTCTTTGCAGAATATATTGTGGAAGCACAAAATATGGAAGATAAAGGAAAATTTATACCAGTTGGTGTGGTATCTGGTAATCAAACTAAATTATCTGTGAATGGATTAAAGAATAAAGAAAATTATAAGTTCAGGTCAGTGCATAAAAATAATAAATATCAAAATGAAAACTGCATAACTGTAGAAACCAAAAAATAACTACTATTTTACTTAAAGTATTATCAGTAGAGGAATCAAAATAAATTTTTAAATTATAGAGTGAAGGCAAAAAACAAGGAAGGTGAATCAGATCCACTTTCTGCAGATCAGTACATTCTAATAAAGGATCCTTGGGATGAACCTGGAAAACCAGGTCGTCCTGAAATCACTGACCATGATGCAGATAGAATTGATATTGCCTGGCATCCACCATCGAAAGATGGCGGTGCTCCGATTGAAGAATACATTATCGAAGTTAAAAATCCAGTAACTCGTGAATGGAGTGAAATAACAAGATCACCTAGTATTTTTTATTCATTACGTATCAGACAAATTGTTTTCGAATTTTGGTAAATGTGAAATTGAAATTTGCATTTTTCGTTAGTTAATAACCTTTTTTGTGAGCTCATAATCTTTCCAGCGACAAGTGCATCAATAAAAGGTTTGAAAAAAGGTAACGAATACCAGTTTCGGGTAAAGGCGGTTAATAAAGCTGGACCGGGTAACCCAAGTGAACCATCTGATAGACAAATTGCTAAACCTAAATTTGGTAAATCTATCACAACTTTTCTTTTGAAATTAAAAATTTTTTTCATTTAGATAAAATTTACTAAGAAAATTTTATAATATTGCAGTTCCGGCATGGTTGAAATTGGATGATTTAAAGAGTTTTACTGTGAAAGCAGGGCAATCAGTGAAGTGGAATATCGAATTCGGAGGTGAACCAGCACCTGAAGTTATTTGGTTCAAAAATAACGAAGTTCTATTAGCAAGTGAATCTATTCAGGTCATTCAACTTTTCATCTCCCCATATAATTTTTTATTCAGAGATGTGAAAGCTATTAAGCAAAGTCTAAGGTTTTGAAAAGTTTTGTAGTGTTTTGTAGTATATTTCAGGTTGAAACGAAAAAACAGGCACATACATTAGTCCACATACCATCAGCAAAACGTTCAGATGTGGGCAAGTACTCACTTAAAGTGAAAAATTCTACTGGTGAACAAATCGGTACCGCTGATCTAGTTGTCTTGGACAGACCAAGTCCACCACTAGGTCCTTTAGAAGTATGTGATTCTTCTATCTTTAAAATCTGGAGAAATCTATAAACTTTGCAAATTTCCAAGTAATAAACATGATTTGTACTTTTTAGAACTTAGCTACGCTTATGTTTCCATATTTTATTAGTTAATTGAAGGATTGAAACCAAATTTGACTCAGTTACAGTCTCTTATCCAATTTTTAGGTATCGGATGTCTTCGAAGATAATTGCAACCTTCTTTGGACACCACCTGAAGATGATGGTGGTGAACCCATTGAATATTATGAAGTAGAGAAATTCGACACAGAAATAGGAAAATGGATTCCATGCGCTAAAGTGAAGGATACCAGAGCGCATATTGAAGACTTGCAAAAGGGCCACTCTTACCAGTTTCGTGTGAAAGCTGTAAATCGTGAAGGTGCTAGTGATCCATTAGCAACCAAATACGCTACTCTGGCGAAGAATCCTTACGGTGCTTATAACGTTTTTATGTCCAAGTAGCTCATGATATTTTAATGTCCATCAGACAAATTTAATTTTATCAGCATGCAAGACTCTTATATCTGATAGTTCATAACTGTTTTCCATGGGGTTTATTTCTGCTTTAATTATTAAGATTAATCTGCAAAAAAAATTTATAGTACAGTGATCAATTCCATTTTTTTTAGATGAACCTGGAAAACCATCAGCTCCTGAAGTGACTGACTGGGACATTGATCGAGTAAATTTGGCATGGGATCCTCCAGCTAATGTACGGCTTAATTTTCAGTTTAAAGTGAACTGTTGTAAGAGAAGTAATTAAGGAAAGACTTTCTGCAAAATACTACTATAAAGATATTAATTTTAGGATGGTGGCTCTCCAATAACTGGTTACATAGTTGAAAAACGAGACAAGCATTCTAAAGATTGGAGTGAATGCTTTAAAACACATGGTCCTGAGTGTGAAGCTAAAATTTTGGGTTTGAAAGAAGGTGAAGAATATCGGTTCCGAATAAGAGCCATCAACAAAGCTGGATCTGGAGAAGCATCTGATCCAAGTCGAAGAGTTATCGCAAAGCATCGTAACTGTGAGTTATTCAAAATAAATAAGCTCTTGTAAAAAAGAATCAAATTTTTCTTTAATAAATCTAGAACATTAAAGGTATTAATATCAACAATTGATTATTTATTTACAGCTAACAAATATAAATTTGTAAAAATCTATTAAAATATTTGTTCAGTGAAGCCATATATTGATCGAGAATCAATGAAATCGATTGTGATCAAAGCTGGACAGAGTATGGAATGGAACATTCCAGTCATTGGAGAACCGCCACCACAAAAAGTTTGGACACATAATGAAAAAGCAGTAGAAGACGATGGACGTATTGTGGTACCTCTTTAATTTAAATGAACTTACTTCCAATTACAGCAATACGGAAGGCTTTATCATTTCCTTTAGATTTCAATGTTACATGGATTCACAGATTTTATAGATTAAAAAATTTTATTTATTAATCCATGAAATGCTGAAAGGAAATAAATAAGCTCTTGTAAAAAAGAATCAAATTTTTCTATTAGCTGATAAATATTTGATTGATTTAGATGTACAGTGAAATTCTTTTTCAGATAACTTATGAAGATTACAAGACTACATTCGTGCTCAAAAATGCAGCACGAAAGTATACTGGAAAATATACGTTAACAGCAACAAATGTTAATGGAAAAGATGAGCATTCAATGGAAATAACGGTCATTGCTCGACCCTCTGCTCCTGAAGGTATTTTCCAGCAACCTTAAACAGTATTAGCTCATTTTGAGTGTTTGTAAATGTAATAAGATTTTCCTCATAAAAATCGTTTTAAGGTCCATTGGAAGTATCAGATATTCATGCGGATCATATGAATCTAAAGTGGAAGCCACCAGAAGATGATGGTGGTCTTCCAATCGACCATTATGAGATTGAGAAAATGGATATGTCTACTGGTAGATGGGTTCCATGTGGACGATCAGAAGATTGCACAGCAACTGTGCATAATTTGCAAGAAGGGAAACTTTATCAAGTAATTTAATCTACCATATAAAGTTTCATGATTGAAATAATGTACATTATTTATCAAGTTTACAAAATGCTAATCACTTTTTTTGTTAAAATTATAATTGTACAAATTTTTTAGTTCCGTGTTCGGGCTGTGAACAAAGAAGGCGAATCAAGTCCACTTTCAACAGAAGGTGACGGACTTTTAGCTAAAAATCCGTATGACATCCCAGAAAAAATGGATAAGCCAGAAATAGTCGATTGGGACAAGGATCACATTGATTTGCAGTGGAAAGCTCCAAATGATGGCGGTTCGCCTATTGAGGAGTATGTGATAGAAATGAAAGACAAATACGGAAAATGGACAGAAGCAATGAAAGTAAAGTTGCCTCTATCAAATTTTAAATCTTCAAATTATTGAAAGTAGTCATAAAATAGAGAAACAATTTAATTCTCTATAGATGATTGTTTAACAATAATTTTAGGTACCAGGGTCTGAAACAGCTGCTCGAGTAGAAAATTTGAAACCAGGTGAAGAATATCAGTTTCGTATTGCTGCCAAGAATAAAGCTGGTGTAGGTGAACCATCGAATCCAAGTGATCGAGTAACTGCAAAACCGAGGCATTGTACGTTTCCTACTTTGATCCAGTCTGTTTTTTATAGTAACGATGATCTTTATCACAAACTTAAAAACAAAAAATATAATTCAGATCCTAAATTTTATACACATCTATCCAGTTTTTAAAGATTTTGATCGCATACCTATATCAAGTAACGATTTAAGCCATGATGTAAGAAAGTTCATTGTCTAGAAACATTTTTCTGTTTGCATATTTGGTTAAATTCTTTTGAATTTTTTAGTGGCACCTCATATTCATCGTGAAGATATTGAAGATATAGTTATCAAAGTAGGACAACCCTTAAGACTTAATATACACATTGATGGTGAGCCACCACCTCATGTTACGTGGAGTTGTAATGGCAAATCACTTCATTCAGATGTTCTCATCGAAGACGAAGATTATATCACTAAATTTGCTATAGCAAAAGCACTTAGGTTCGTGACTTTTAAACTTTTTCAATTCACAAGATGGAACATATTTTAGTCAGCAAAACTCAAGCTTTCATATGAGTAATAGTTTTCGTTTTTCAAGAGTTATATTAACGATTGAATTTTTAAGAAAACAGTCAGGAGCTTATACTATAACAGCTACAAATGGGAGTGGTACTGATACTGTCACTTTCAAAATCAAAATAAAAGGGAAACCAGGAAAACCGAAGGGACCTGTAGACGTCAAAGATGTCTTCGAAGATCGGGCAACTTTAAGCTGGCAAGCACCAGAAGATGATGGCGGAGAACCTATTGATCATGTATGTATATGTAATATCTTAGTTTTTTTTTTGAAGTTTCGAAGTTATGTACTATTTTTGATTCACTGTACTAAATTTGACTCTTATCCTCCAATAACTGCTATTTTTTGAAAATGTTTAATTACTTTGCTACTTATAGCACTGTTAATTACAAGACTTTATGACTTGAAATGTTTCGTGATTGAAATGTGAATCGTTTATTGAAATTTTAGTATGAATTGGAAAAATTGGACACTAAAGATGGTATATGGGTACCTTGTGGAAAATCTAAGGACACATGTTTCCAAGTTGAAAACCTTATGAAAGACAGGCATTACCAGTTCCGTATCAAGGCAGTAAATTCTGAAGGAGCTTCTGAGCCTTTGGTTACAGACAGCACTATTCATGCTAAAAATCCATTTGATAAACCTGATAAGCCAGGTAAGCCAGAGCCAACAGACTGGGATAAAGATCACGTTGACCTGGAGTGGACTAAGCCATTAAGTGATGGCGGAGCACCGATTGAAGAATACCGCATTGAAAAACGAAGCAAATATGGACGGTAATTTCTAGAAGTGATTTATGATAAGAAATAAAGTAATTCTTGAAATGGAATCAAAATACGCTTGCTATCATTGATATCTTAAATTAATTTCATCAAAACAAATCTGGAATAGTATTTCACTGTGACTGAACATACTAAGCTTTAGATGGGAACCTGCTTTAATAGTACCAGGTGATTCAACTACAGCTACTGTACCTGATCTTGTGGAAGGTGAGGAGTATGAATTTCGTATCATAGCTGTAAACAAAGGGGGACCGTCTGATCCAAGCGATCCAAGTGTCGCCGTAATTGCGAAACCACGAAACTGTTAGTATTTGCATGATATTAAATTTAACCGAAACAGTTAGAAAATATGCCCCTGTTCATAATTATAATTTTGAAAATTTGTTTTCTTCAGTCAACATTGATGGAATAATATTTGATAAAAATAAAGATCTTTTCAGTGGCACCGAAAATTGATCGTAGCGCTTTGAAAACTGTGCAGGTAAGAGCAGGACAAATGATTACATTTGATGTATCAGTCGAGGGTGAGCCACCACCAAAAATCACTTGGTTTAATCCAGAAGGACGCGAAGTCAAACGTGGTGGTCGTGTCAAGCTTGACAATCCAGATTATAAGACAAAATTACAAATAAGATCATCTGAACGAAGTGACAGTGGTACTTACACTGTTCGAGCTGTAAATCCCATTGGTGAAGATGAGGCTACTGTCGAAGTTAATGTTATCGGTGAGCTCTTGAAAAAAGTAAAAAAATCATCGATTAAATCAGTTTTTTTAAGATTTTCGCGAATTTTGTTGAAAGCATTATAGTATTCTTACGTCATATTTTTCTCTATTGTTGCGCAGCTTTCAGTTTTGTTATTGACAATTACTTTGGATGAAATTGGCGCAAGTGTTGAAACCAGGGGTCTGAAACATACAAGCATTTTTCTAAAGCTTTCAGATAAACCATCACCTCCGGTAGGCCCTTTGAATACAACAAATATTCACGCTGATCACGTTACTCTAGATTGGAAAGAACCAAAAGATGATGGTGGATTACCCATTGATAATTATGTTATAGAAAGATTTGACACAACAAGCGGACACTGGGTTCCATGTGTCAAGGTTTGCTGATTAAAAGTTTAAAAAGATTCTTGGATCGACAGGAAAGCAAGTAATTATTATAAAACATAATGGTAGGTAACGAAAAATTAACAGTAGGATTTTTAGGTTGATGGAGGACAGACAAGTGCAGTTGTTGACGGTCTTATTGAAGGACATGAATACAAATTTCGTGTTTCTGCTGTAAATGCTGAAGGTGAATCAGAACCATTAGAAACGCTTGGAAATATTCTTGCCAAAAATCCGTATGATCCTCCAGGTCATTATTTAATTTCTCATAAAATATGTGCTATCGATAAGTGGAATTTTATGTGCTTTTCACGTTTCACTTTGTATTTTTCGGTTCTTCCTTTTTAAGATAATTTAAACCAATCTGGTGACTTTAGGTAAAACTGGCAAGCCCGAAATCGCTGACTGGGATAAAGATCATGTTGATTTGATATGGACACCTCCTACGAACGATGGAGGTGCACCAATAGAAGGCTATATTGTTGAAATGAAAGAAAAGTTTGCACCATTCTGGAACAAAGCTATAGAGGTACCAGCTAACCAGCTTGCAGCGACAATACCAAACTTAAAAGAGGGCTACGAGTATGAATTCAGAATACGAGCCAAAAACAAAGCTGGTCCTGGAGATCCATCAGATCCAAGCAATTCTATAATTGCTAAGCCTCGACACGTAGCCCCAAAAATTGATCGTACCGCAATTGAGGAAATCAAAGTGCGTGCTGGCAATAACTTCCAGTTAAATATTCCAGTTTCTGGTGAACCACCTCCGGTGGTTACATGGTCATTTCAAGGAGAGCAATTACAATCTACTGAAAGGATAAAAATTGAAAATCCGGACTACAAAACCAAATTCACTGTACGACGTGCTCTTCGCTCTGATACTGGTGTTTACACAATTAAAGCAGAAAATGAAAATGGCACAGACGCAGCTGAAGTGCATGTATTGGTTTATGATCGCCCAGGAGAGCCTAAAGGTCCACTAAGAGTGAATAATGTTCATAAAAATGGATGTACTTTGGATTGGCAAGAACCTGAAGATAATGGAGGTACAGAGCTTAGTCATTACATTGTAGAAAAACAAGATGTTAAAACGGGGCGATGGACATTTGCAGGTGAAGCACATAGCACAACCATGCAGATTGATGATCTTAATCCAGGACATGAGTACACTTTTCGTGTTAAAGCAGTCAATAAATATGGTGAATCAGATCCACTGAAAACTACTGAATTCATCATCGCTAAAGATCCATTTGATACGGCTGGTAAACCAGGTACTCCAGATATTGTAGACTGGGATAAAGATCATGCAGATCTTCAATGGACACCTCCTTTGGATGACGGCGGTGCACCAATTGAGAAATACATTATTGAAAAGAAAATGCCTAATGGGGACTGGGAATTTGCGGAAGAAGTATCAGCAAATCAGACAGCTAGCACAGTAGGTCAGCTTAAAGAAGGAAATACCTATCAGTTCCGCGTTAAAGCTATTAATAAAGCTGGTGAATCAACACCTTCAGATCCAAGTCGTACTTTGGTGGCTAAGACACGCAATTTGCCGCCAAAGATAGATAAGTCTACATTAAATGAAGTGCGGGTGAAGGCTGGCGGTGTCATTGAATTCCACGTCAAAGTTGAAGGGGAACCACCACCAAAAATAGCCTGGTTCAACCACGATACACCACTAACAACATTTGAACGTACAAAAGTGGATAATACTGTAGATTATCGTACAAAATTGGTTACTGTAGATGCTGTACGTAGTGATTCCGGTACTTACAGGATTGTTGCTACTAATGAAAATGGTAGAGATGAAGCGGAAGTGAAAGTTATAGTACTTGAGATTCCAGGGACTCCAAATGGACCGTTAGATGCCAAAGATATCACAAAAGAAAGTTGCACATTACATTGGAATCCTCCAGACGATGATGGCGGTTCCCCTATCTCACATTACGTAGTGGAAAAACAGGAAGTCAATGGCCGGTGGGTACCATGTGGAGAAACTTTTGACACAAGCTTACGTGTCAATAAACTTATTGAAGGAAAAGAGTACAAATTTCAAGTAAGAGCTGTAAATCGTCAAGGTGAATCCCAACCTTTGATATCGCCTTATCCAATTGTGGCCAAAAATCCATTCAATGAACCTGGAAAACCTATGGATTTAACTGCAGTTGACTGGAATAAGGATCATGTAGATTTAGAGTGGAAAGCACCATTGAGTGACGGTGGTGCACCAGTTGAGAAATATATTGTTGAAAAAAAAGATAAATTAGGAGACTGGATTCAGTGTGCAACATCACTGGGACATATCACTAAAGTTACCGCAACTAACTTAATATCGGGTGAAAGTTATCAATTTAGAGTACGAGCTGTTAATAAAGCTGGAAAAGGAGAACCTTCCGACCCTACAAATGAGATTATCGCAAAACCTAGAAAGCTAACCCCTAAAATTAATCTGGCTGGGCTTTTAGATATCCGAGTTAGAGCGGGATCGCCTATTCATATGAAAGTAAACTACGACGGTGAGCCAGAACCGACAGCAGCCTGGAAAATTAATGATACTCTGTTCCCTGATACAAATAGGATAGAAATTACTACAAATAATAAGACTAGTGAGATTCTGATCCCATCATCAGTACGTAGTGATTCTGGTACTTACACAATTGTTGTCGAAAATGAACATGGCAAAGATAAAGCATCTTGTAGCGTAACAGTTTTGGACGTCCCCGGAATACCTGAAGGACCAGTCAAAGTCACTGATGTGAGTAAAGAAGGATGCACATTATCTTGGAAACCTCCGGCTGATGATGGTGGTTCCGATATTATGCATTATGTTGTTGAGAAAATGGACACAAATCGTGGTACTTGGCAGGAAGTAGGTCATTTTCCAGACTGCTCTGCTAAAGTGACAAAATTGATCAATGGCAAAGAGTACAAATTCTGTATAAAAGCAGTGAATATGCAAGGAGAATCAAAACCCTTAGAAACACAAGACATAATAGCCAAAAATCAATTTGATGTGCCACACCAAGTTTCAAAGCCTGAAATTACCGACTGGGACAAAGATCGAATTGATATTGAATGGAAACCGCCCAGTGATACGGGTGGATTGCCTATTCAAGAATATATCATTGAAAAAAAGGAAAAGGGTAGCCCATTATGGATAGAAGCTGGCAGAACTGGTGGAGCTACTACAGCTTTCTCAGCTGGTGGTTTGAAACCTGGTTCAGAATACGAATTTCGAGTTGTAGCAGTAAATGAAGTTGGTCCATCTGACCCATCAGAACCCTCAGATGGTCAAATAGCTCGGCCAAGATATGTAAAACCAGAAATTATTTCCCAAACATTTAAATATAGAGTTAAGGCAGGTTTATCACTAACAGTGGAAGCAGAATACATAGGTTCACCAGACCCATCCGTAATCTGGGAATTCAGGGAAGGTCAACCGCTAGCTTCAAATCTACTCGTAAACATTAAGAAGGGAATATTATCAAGCAACACGAGTTTTTTCATGCCATCTGCTAAGCGATCTGAAAGCGGAACTTACTTACTAAAACTGAAAAATGACGTTGGCGAAACATTTGGATTGTTTGAAGTAATCGTTCAGGACAGACCTTCACCGCCAAAGGGACCGATTGAAGTAACTGAAGTAACTAAAGAAAGTTGCGTTCTTCATTGGCAGCCCCCAGATGATGATGGTGGCTCTCCAATCACTAATTACATAGTAGAGAAACGTGATCTGCAATCTAATACTTGGACGCCAACTTTGATCTTTATTCCCGGTTCTACGGTCATGATACCGAAACTTAATGAAGGTCATCAATATGAATTTCGAGTCATGGCTGAAAACGCATATGGAAAATCAGATCCATTGAATACTGATTCTCCCGTGCTTGCAAAGGATCCTTTTGGTAGTCCAGGTAAGCCTGGCCGACCAGTTGCTACTGATCAAGATGCGGATCACATTGAAATTGAATGGGAAGCACCCAAGGATAATGGTGGAAGTTCGATATCTCATTACGATATTGAACGCAAAGACCTGAAAACTGGACGCTGGATCAAGATTAATACCGAACCAGTGAAAGGTACAAGTTTTATGGATGAGCGTGTCCAAGAAGGTCATACTTATGAATATCGTGTGCGAGCTACAAACAAAGCTGGTCCAGGAGAAAATTCAGATCCTTCAGCTGCAATCACTGCAAAACCAATGTTCCAAGCTCCACATTTTGATCTCGATATCGATGGTAAAGAATTCCGAGTTCGTGTCGGTGAACCACTAGATATCAACATTCCTTTCACAGCATCACCAAAACCCCAAATTAAATGGGTAAAAGATGGGCAGACTCTTAACAACGTAGAAACAGATGATTCAAAAACACATCTTTTTATTAAAGAAAGTAAGCGATCAGATTCTGGTAAATGCACTATTTATGCATCTAATCCTTATGGTGATGCGCAAGCAACGCTTAAGATTTCTGTGCTTGATCGACCAGGGCCTCCAGAAGGCCCATTGACTTATCCAGAGTCATCGCGTCATTCCGTGACTTTGAAATGGAATCCACCTAAGGATGATGGTGGCTCTGAAATTACTGGTTATCGAATTGATTACCAGGAAGTAGGCATTTCTAAGTGGGAACGTGTTATTGAAGCAGTTGGTGGTACGACATATACTGTTCGTGCATTAGATCATGGCAAACAATATCGTTTTCGTGTACGGGCTGAAAATGTTATTGGATTGGGTGAATCTTTAGTAGGCGCACCAGTTGTTGCGAAAGATTCGTTTGACCCACCAGGACCACCCAGCACTCCTGATGTTACTGGATATGATCGTAATCAAATAAGCTTATCCTGGAAACCTCCTCAAAACGATGGTGGATCACCTATATTGGGCTACATAATAGAAAAATTTGAAAAAAGTGGCAGTGATTGGGTAGCTATTAAGACACGCTTGATCAGAGGTACTGAGACGACTGTAACTGGGCTAATGGAAGGAGAAACATACCAGTTTCGTGTGCGAGCCATTAATTTGGCTGGAGAAGGTCAACCAAGTGGAAGCACAGAACCAACTATTTGTCGTCCATTTATTTGTGTACCAGGTGCACCAGATCAACCACGAATTGGCAAAATCACAAAAGATTCTGTGGAATTAACTTGGAATCGTCCTTTGAAAGATGGTGGAGCCCCGATTGAAGGTTATATTATTGAAAGGAGAGAAGCTGGTAAAAGCGATTGGATATTATGTAACGATAAACCAGTTAGAGATGCTCATTTTGTTGTGAAACCGCTTAAAGAAAATGAAGAATTTGAATTTCGTGTAAAAGCTGTCAACTGTGTTGGAACAGGAGAACCATCCAAGCCAACTGATATGGTACGTGTCAGGGAACAGCCAGGTCGGCCGTGTCTAGATTTGTCTGCTATCAAGGATATCACTGTAAAAGCTGGTGAAGATTTTGAAATCCGAATTCCATTTACTGGTGGTAATCCTAAACCAATTCCAACTGCTTATAATGGCATAAAGGAAATATTTGATGATGATCGCGTCAACATTGAAGTAATTAATTTTCAATTTTTCTCTCTTTTTATGTAAAAATGTTAACAAGTTATAAATTTGATTTTCATTAGGAGCAAAGTTCAATTCCGATAAGTGTTTACTTGAAAAGATAATTATTTCGTTTTGTCAAGATTAGATGCAAACAAAGAGAAACTTTCAGGTAAATGACGGATTTGTAACTTTAAAGACTAAATCAGCACAAAGATCAGATGCTGGACCGTATCGCATCACTTTAACCAACTGTTATGGCAAAGATACAGCGAAACTAAATGTCAATGTATTGTCACCTCCTGGAAAGCCTGTTGGACCAATATCAGCAAGCGAAATAACCGGTGAAGCAATAACACTCCACTGGTTTCCGCCACTTGACGATGGGGGTGCTGGCATAAGTAATTACGTAGTGGAAAAACGTGAACCAGATGGAACATGGACTAAAGTTGGTCAACCAGTTGGTACAAGTTTCCGAGTCCGTAATCTCGAAAATGGAAAACCGTACGAATTTCGGGTTTCGGCAGAAAATCAATATGGAGTTGGTTTGCCCCTTGAAACAGCAGAAGCAATTATTGCAAAGGATCCATTCGGTATGTAATGAATCATTTTAACTTTTTCATGACAAATGACTTTTTTAATTCATTCATTAACATCTGAACCTTCGTTAATCGTTCACGAATTTGTTTTTAAAAAAATAATGAACGGAAGTTACTCTTTAGATAAGCCTGGACCTCCTGGAAAACCGGAACCTACTGTAACAACAGATGACACAATTACGTTGCAGTGGACTTGCCCAGTAAAGAATGGTGGTTCACCAATTCTAGGTTACGCACTCGAAAAGCGTGAAGAAGGTGGCAATTGGTCAAAATGTGTTTTTGGTCTTATTAATGACACACAATATAGGGTAAGATATATTCAATGCTGTGAGGCTAATATTGCTTTGATTTTTGCCATTATTCATAGCATTCTCAAAATAAGTCATGAATATTATCTGTTTAATAAACTTAAATTATTCATCATGGAAGATTATTACATTTGACACTTGCAGGTCACTGGTTTAACACCTCATAAGCGTTATGAATTCCATGTAGCTGCGGTAAATGGAGTTGGCCAGGGTTTATGGAGTGATAAGAGTGATTTAATTACAGCTCAGGTTGAAGCTGTAAGGCCAAGAATACAGCTTTCTTTACTTGGCAGAGATATAACAGCTCGTGTTGGAACTCCTGTAAAGGTTAGTGATAATTAATGGATAATATTTAAATATGGCAAAATTTTATTTGAAAAGTGAGCATTGTTTTGAATATTTTAGTTTTAATTTGCAGATTCTGATACCATTTTCATCCAGCCCTTCACCAGAAATAACTTGGCAAAAGAATAGTAAACCAGTTGATGAGAAATCAAAACGTTTAAAACTTGAGTCAAATGATTTCTTAACTCAACTGTCATATGAAAAGTGCGAACGGGATGATACGGGTATTTATACCATCAAGGTATTTACTATTTTTGAAGAAAGTATCAAAAATGAGATATTGTATTTTGTTAATGATGAAAGTAACTTGCAAAACTAGTAATAAATTTGCATCAATTTCAAAATTTATGGAAAACTTTGGATTAAATTAGTTGCTTTGGATTCCTGAATTCTAATTTTGTTGTCATAAAAGTAATTTGTATTTTCAGCTTGAAAATGATGCAGGTTCAGATAGCTTAAATGTTAAATTATGGGTTGTCGATTGTCCGTCACCACCGAAAAATCTTACGATCTCTGATATTACACCGGATTCCTGCGTTTTAGACTGGGAACCACCAAACGATGATGGTGGTTCGCATATTACCAATTATATTGTGGAAAAATGTCATATTCGTACAGGTTCAGATGATGTATGGGAGAAAGTTAGCTCATTTGTACGTGGTACTAACTACGAAGTTATTAGCCTTGTTGAAAATGAACGTTATAAATTCCGAGTTCGAGCTGAAAATCAATATGGTATATCAGAGCCAGCGGAATTACACGATACTATTGTTACTCGCTATCAGTTCAAAGTGCCATCACAACCTGATCCTCCCATTATTCGTGATATGGATAGCACTTGGGCTGAATTGGAGTGGGAACCACCATCTGATGGAGGCTCCAAGATTCTTGGATATCTTCTACATTATAGAGAGTCAGGATCCAATAGATGGATTAATGTTAGTTTACAACCAATTGATGGCACTAGTTTCCGAATTCAGAATTTGAAAGATGGAGGTGAATATGAATTTCGTGTTGTTGCAAAAAATAAAGCTGGCTTATCTAAGCCATCACAACCATCAGAAACAGTACGGCTGAAACCGAAATTCGGACTGCCTGGGCCTCCAATACAAGTGGCCGCAAAATCAATTGGACGTAACTACGTAACACTTACTTGGGCTCCTCCAATTGACGATGGTGGTTCAAAAATAACTGGATACATTGTTGAGAGTCGAGAACTTGGAATACAAAGTTGGAGAGTTGTTAGTGACTATAATGTTAGAGAGCCCGAATTCACTGTTCCTAATTTGATCGAGTTCCATGACTATGAATTCAGAATCACAGCCATTAGCAAGTATGGTAAAGGACAGCCATCATTACCCTCATCACCTATTAAAATTCAAGAAATGAGCGGTTCCAAACCTGTAATTGTTGTAAAACCAGCTGACATGACCTCTCCTTACAATCGTCGTGCTGTATTTACATGCGAAGCTGTTGGCAGACCAGGTGATTTTTTTTTTTATTTTTCAACTTCCATTGTTTATTTCATTCTATTTGAATGAAGAAAGACCTCAGATTTGACTAGTAAAAATAATTATTTAGCACCAACTGCACGCTGGTTGCGTAATGGACGTCAAATACCGGAAGGTGCACGCTATCGTACTGAAGTACAGGACGAAATTTTCAAGCTTACTATCAAAGAAGTATGGGATATTGATTCTGGCGAATATACCTGTGAAGTCTCAAATGCATATGGCACTGACTCTGCAACAGCAACATTGACTGTGCAAGGTTTGAATTTGATAATCCACTGTTCATTACTTTTGCAAACGAATCGAAGTGTTTTTGCTTTGATTTAAATGTTAAATTTCAGCGCCGCCAGTAATCGAAAAGAGTGTTGCAAATGCTGTTTATGCTGATGGCGAGTTAGTACGTCTCAAGATTTATTTTTCTGGCTCAGGCCCATTCAGATATGCACTTACTTTAAACAAGGAAGAAATACCAATGGATCATCCAAATATACATTTCGTTGATTTTGATAATCACGTGATCATCACTATTCCATCGATTCACAGTAGCGAAGCTGGTCGTTATGAATTAATAGTTAGCAACGACAGTGGTGAAGCTAATACTAGTTTCTGGTTAAATGTTACTGGTCTGCCATCGGTACCATTAGGTCCTTTACAATTTTCGGACGTGAACAAGTCACAAGTCTTACTTAGTTGGAAACCTCCTGTAGTTAGTTTTCTTTTAATTTTTGTTTCTTATCTTTTATACAAGTTTTATGTTAATTATGAACATTATAAATTTTATAGAATGATGGCGGTGCAAGAATAATGAATTATGTTGTTGAAAAACGTGACTTAACGAGAGATGAATGGACTCAAGTTGCAACATTCGTAAGGGATATTAATTATTTGGTTGGTGATCTGTTCGATGGACATGAATATGAATTTAGAGTTAGTGCCGTTAATGAAAATGGACAAGGCCCACCTTTAGTTGGGGATCAATCAGTTATAACACGATTACCATTTGATCCTCCATCAGCTCCTGGAAAACCGGAGGTCAGTTAGCCACAAAATTAATTTTGTCGCAAAAATTGATGATAATACAAACAAATTGCAATCGAGACTTGTAAATTTTCTCCACATATTTTCATAAAATTTTGCAATCGTAACAATTTAGGGAACGAATATTGATGGAAACTCGTTAACTTTGAATTGGAATCGACCATCAACAGATGGAGGTGGTCGCATTCGTGGTTATCTCATTGAAAAGAAAGAAGTAGATTCGGACGTATGGCAAAAATGCAATCATCATCCACACCCATCCACTTCTTACACTGTAAATAATCTAATTGAAGATCGTAACTACGTTTTCCGCATATTTGCAGTAAATGATGCTGGAAATTCGGAACCATCTGTGAGGTAATTCATAATTTGCTACTAATCAATAATTAATAGTTTAATAGACTTTTCATGACAATTGTTTTTCGTTTAAAAAAAAAATGTTTTGAGGATGTTTTTCAAAATTTTTTTGATTCAAGTTTTTATGCTGGGAAACTTATTCTTCAGTGATGTTGTCAAGCATACTTATTCTGCATCTGGCCAAGCACCAACACTGATAACGCCATTGGTAGATGTGTATGGTGAATATGGACGATCAGTAACTTTTGAATGTGAAATAATTGGCAATCCAGAACCTGAATATCACTGGTACAGAGGTTTAAAAGAGCTGAATGAAACATACAAATATAGCATGCAAAGCAAAGGAAATACTCAGGCATGATATATTTTTGTCTGGATTCGCTAAAATTTAATTTTACAATATAAATTATTTTGAAGATTGAAAACTTAGAACATGGTAAATGTTTCTGAAAATGTGTTCTATAATATATTGTTTTATTATCTGTGAAGTAGTAATGGTCTCATAAATGAATTGCATGCTTTAAATTCCTTTATTTTGACTTTTCAGATACTAATCATATATGATTTGCATGGAGATGATGCTGATGAATATACTTGTCGTGCAACAAACTCACAGGGCTCAAAATCAACTCATGCACAACTTACTATTCGCTCTAAGCCTCGTGTCTTCCTTCCGCCTAGGTATCATGGTGGTTATGAGGCGAAAAAAGGCGAAATTATTGAGCTGAAAATACCATTCAAAGCTTTTCCGCAACCAACAGCGAAATGGTTTAAAAACAATGAGCTTCTTACTGATTCTGATAAATACAAGATTACTACAGATGAAAGGTATTTTTTTCAGTCTTGAGCTCTGAGTGGTTTCATAATTTATCGAAGCATTATATATTTTTAAAGGTTCACAACTCTGATGATCTCAAATGGTGTTCGAGAAGACTTTGGACAATACCGTGTAGTAGTAGAAAATAATATTGGTTCTGATTCGGCTGCCTTAGTTTTAACTGTTGCTGATCGGCCTGATCCACCTCGATTCCCAATAGTTGAAAATATCTTGGATGAAGCTGCTATTCTGTCATGGAAAACACCAGAACTGGATGGTGGTGCAATGATCACTAAGTAAGACTTTTAAATTCAGCGACTAAAACAAATAATAAAACAATTTAAAGACAGCATCAAAAATTTCCTTGACCTAAATTTTTAGCTACATTGTTGAAAAGCGTGAAGCAGTTGTTGGACAGTGGGAAAAATGTGCTAAATCACGTTACACTTACTTGACTATAGAAGGTCTCAAGCCTAAACACACCTACGAATTCCGTATCAGTGCTGAAAATAAGTACGGTCAATCAAAGCCTTGTGAATCAACAGCTCCAATTACTATCCCTGAACAACGCACTCATAAAAGGGGTCGAGATGGTAAAAACTGTTGTATTTCATTTGTTTGTTGCAAATTAATTTTTCTCATTAAGGATACTCTTGTACAGTAAATTTCACCGCAGAAAGTATGTTAAAATTTGAATTTTTGTAGTCGATGATTTGGGTAAAATTGTTCATGGAAAAGGGCCAATATCTGATAACTATGATGCTTATACATTTGACATTTGGAAGCAGTATTATCCACAGCACGTAGAACCGAAACGAGAATCAGTTTATGATTACTATGATATTTTGGAAGAAATCGGATCGTCCGTTTTTGTTGTTTACAAGATTTTTTAATTTATTATAGATGGATATTTTTGATTAAAAACTGTTTTTCAAAAAGATAATTGTGAGTGAACAAAAGTGAACTGTTCTCAGTTGTATAAAAATTTACATATTTTGAGGGGTGCATTTGGTGTTGTTCATCGTTGCGTTGAACGAGCAACAGGCAATACATTTGCTGCCAAATTTGTCAATACACCGCATAACGTCGATAAAGATACAGTTCGTAAGGAGATTAGCACCATGTCTATCCTCAGACATCCAAGTTTAATAAACTTGCATGATGCTTTTGAAGATGACCAAGAAATGGTCATGATTTATGAATTGTTAGTTTTTTTTGTTTGCAGTATTTTAGTAGTTGAGAGATGATAAATTCCAATATTTTTCAGTACCAATGCTCAGTGGTCTTTTTTGTTTTTAGAAATATGTTTTTGCTAAATTTATGCTTCATTAAAAGAAATGTTTTAAGCATGTCTGGTGGTGAGCTGTTCGAAAAAGTTTCTGATGAAAAGAATCGAATGTCTGAAGCAGAAGCAGTTGATTATATCCGACAAGTATGTGAAGCATTACGTCACATGCACGAGATGAATTATGTACATTTGGATCTAAAACCTGAAAATATCATGTTCACAGCAAAGAAAAGTGACCGATTAAAACTGATCGACTTTGGTTTAACAGCGAAATTAGATCCTAAAGATATTGTCAAAGTTACAACAGGTACGGCAGAATTTGCAGCACCGGAAGTGGTAAATAATAAGGCTGTAGGATTCTATACTGATATGTGGAGCGTGGGCATACTTGCATACATTCTGTGAGTTCTTGTTTTCTTAATACTATCTAAGGTATTTCATTATTTGTGGCTGAATTGAATGATGTATTAGTTATGATTCTGTAAAGACCGTTTGCTTAGTACTTTGTCACAAATTTTGTGATATCATTAGTATTAATTGATAGCACTTCCTTTCATTTTTTGTTCTATATGAAGTCCCAGCATAAAAAAGACAAAAATTTTCAACCTTTCAGTGTATCCGGTCTTTCACCATTTGGAGGAGAGACTGACGAAGAGACACTTCGAAATGTGAAGAAATGTGACTGGAATATGGATGATCCTTGCTTTGCAACTATTTCTCAAGATGGGAAGGACTTCATTAGAAAGCTACTCATATTGGAACCAAAGTGTGTTCAATATTCAAGTCCTAATTTGAGAAATACATGAAGAAAACCGTATATAAGGCTTTGGAATATCAGCTTGAAAGTCAAAATTCTGTCAATCGACAATTAATGGAAATCAGTTTGATTTAGCTACATTTTTTAGTTAAGTTTTTGTTACAGAAATCGAATGTCCATACACGAGGCTTTGGAACATCCATGGTTGAATGGTACAGCTACTAACATGTCTTCACAACGGATACCTAGTAATCGCTACCACAACGTTCGTGACTCAGTTCGGCAAAGATATGTAAGAGTTAAATTTGAGCAGTGTTACAGTTCTTAATGATCATAAACGAAAGAAATTTTAAAAAATGGGATTGTATCATGTCAGGATGCTTGGCCAGAGCCAAATCCACCACTAGGACGCATTTCAAACTACAGTTCTCTCAAAAAGCACCGTCCAGCAGAATATCACATTCATGATACATGGTTCAACAGAGAAGAAGGCCTTCCACGATTTGTCGTTAAACCTTTTAATACAAGCTGTGTTGAAGGTGGTAATGCTACTTTTTCATGCAGGTATTACAATTGAAAATGATTTTTTTATGCACTGTAACTGCAATAGAATTTCAAATCACAAAATTATTTTTCAACTTAATATATTTTACAGAATTATTGCTTCATCGCCACCAACAGTAACGTGGCATAAAGATGTAGATGAACTACGACAAAGTACTAAATATATGAAAAAATACAATAATAATAACTACATGATAACGATAAATCGAGTTAAATCGGAAGATAGTGGTGAATATACCGTAAGAGCTCAAAATTCGTATGGTTCTGCAGAAGAAGTTGTAGTCCTCAAAGTGATTGGTTAGTGTAATAGAGAATTTCGCTATTCTCATTTCGAGAGTTATAACTGAAATCTAAGTGGAAAAATATGCATAATTAATTGGTGCTAATTAATTATGATAACTGGAACAGGAAGGTAGATACTTATGTTACTATCTGGTGAGGAGTTATATTTTTTCTTTAGCGGTATTTTGCAGAATCAGTAGAGCGACAAAGTCCATCAAGAGTTCTAGAACCTGAAAAACGAGCTTATTCATCACGAGAACCGCAATCATTCAAAGAACTTCTTGCGGCTCCAAAGTTCACGTTTCATCTTCGTCAACGACTTATTCAGAAAAATCATCCTTGTAAATTAATTTGCAATGTACAAGGCAATCCACTTCCTAAGGTAGTTTCAACTCTGTTGGATTTCAATTATGACATAAAAATTAATATTTTAATGCTACGATAATTGCCCTTTATGGGAATAGCTGGGAGAATAGTTTCCATGTTCAAGCTATGAAATCCAATGTCGAAATTTGATGTTTGTCTAGATTGAGTGGTTCAAAAATGGCTTGTTAGTTGATAAAGATCGAATACATCTAACGTACCGAAGTGGTGTATGTACTATGGAACTGTTTAACACTCAAATGGATGATGCGGGTACCTACCGTTGTGAGGCAACAAATGATTTGGGAACTGATTATACTGAATGTGCAGTTACTGTACAAGGTAAGCTACCTCTTTAAAATAATTTTTGCGCATATATACTTGAGAAAATGTTTTACTACTTGTATTAATTATCTCCGTAAAAAGCTAAATGACGCCGCAATATATTTCAAGATTTCAATAATGCAGTCATCCACCTATCTTTGAGTCCAAAACTTACATAACGAATTCCCGTCAATAAAAATGATACGATGCTTTAGGTAGAGGTGGTGAATCAATACCGATAAATACGTTTCGTTCAAGACGGGTTTATGACTCACTAAACATTAGCAATATCGCACGGTCACATTCTAGTACTGATGTTTCATCACGAGTCGGTCATGACGTATTAACATCACAATCTCAGAGTGATTCACTTCCAAAACATGATATTAAACCACCTATTTTCACTTCAAAACTGTGCAATCGTATAGTAAAAGAAGGAGAACAAGCTGAATTTGTTTGTTCGGTGATTATTTTTTAAGACTTTTTATACAGTATATGCAAACAAATTAAAACTCATCTAACATTTCTTGGTGAAAATTTTTACAGATTTCTACAGAGGCCGAATTGTTAGTTGAATGGCTCCACAACGGTAAACTTATTACCAGTGGTAATAATGTAAGGATTTCTCTCGTAACAGGTCAGGCTTCATTAATAATCGATCATGTAGCAGACAAACATGAAGGCGAGTACTGCTGTCGAGCAAGTAATTCAGGAGGTTCAGAAACATGCAGAGCTGATCTTGTCGTGAAGAAGTAAGTAAATGGATTCTTTTTTTTCGTACTATTTTCAGTTCACAATTGTGCAGTCGTGCGGCAGTTTCAGTAGTGTCGCTATGTAGTATGCAATGAAAATGAAGTCAAATTTTTCTTAAAAATAACCTCAGTGCAGTAACTTTAGTATTAATAATAATTTTTACTAGCAGAACGGGAACCAGTGATGTAGAATTTGCAACTGGTGCAACATCTGAAGGAGATATCGAGAAACCGGTACTTCCTAATGGAGATGTAAGACTAGAAGACGAAAAAATGACTGGAACATTACGCATAATTCGTCATCTCGAAGGACTTCAAGTTAATTCTGGCTCCAAAGCAACTTTCTCAGTTGTATCCACTGAAACTGCAGATAAAGTTAGTCATTTGTCACTACTATTATTAGCATACAAATCAAGATCATTTGGTCGATACCACTTTATTGACAAATTTTCATAAGCCGGAAATTCTCTTCTCGTATTATTGTTTCTGGTCCTGGATCGTATTTTGGCTGTATTTGTACTATGTTCAGATTTGTTTGTTGATCTCCATTCTTTCATTTCTGTGTATTCATGGCTATGATCGAGTGAGATGCTTTCGAGCCTTGTCTTGAACACTGTCAATTGAATATAGGAAATACAAGGAAATGCACTTTTCAATTAAGAAATTACAGACGACTGGGGCCCACCGCCTTCCAGTTGAGCAAATAAGAAATTGTCATTCCAAATTCGCTCCAGATAGGAAAGTATGATGTACTTGTAGTCTGGAACGAACTTCTAGATATTCCTTGCGGGATATCGTCGTCCTTTGTCATCCCTGAGTTCCATGTCGTACCTTAAAACCTCTGATTTCCTCTGTCCCTACATTGTCTCTGGCGAGCTATTCTCCAGCAGATTCTTTATAGAACATTTCAAATTTCGCACATGGATTCTGAATACACACTGGGTCTCATAACTAATAATTTTACTTTCATAAACGTTTACACGCTGTCAACATGCTTAGCTTCATAATAGTTATGCTTGAGAGCAAATATGAGATTTATTCCCCTCATACACTTCTTAGCCTCCTTTTAAGTCTTTACCTCCAAGATTCTAATCGGTCTAAATCCGTTCTGTAAAGGTTTTTCGGAAACTTCACCCCAAATGGCTTCTTTTCTCGCCTCGTCATCTCTTTGTAGCAATATTGTGCCACTTTGCAGTGTCAGTCATTTATTTGAGAGAATTCTGTGTGAAATATTCACCGGCCACTTGCTTCACTGCTCCAAGAGAGTGAGTTAGCGTTCTCCCATATTACTTTCCGCTTCTACTTCTTCTCATTCGTTCCTGGATCTCTCGCAGACTTCTGCTTCCCGTTCACATGTGCCGGTATTGATGAGTGCTAGGTACTTCTGCTTCACGTTCAGAAGAATCTTAGATGTTTTTACGGACTCCTATCATTTCTGCTAGCATGAGCTACCGACACTTATGATCGAGTAATTTTCTTGCTTCTTCTGTTTGCTCCATATATATATACGAATTATAGCAGTTTTCAATTTTTAGGTTTTGTGGTTCAAAAATGGCAAGGAATTGCATTCAGATGCACATACAACGATTAGTGTAAGCGGATGCGAATATCGAATGGAGATCTCAGATATATCCGTGGGTGATCATGGAATTTATCAAGTGGATTTATTGCAAAATGGCAAAACGCTTACTTCAGTTGCATCACTTGTTGTATTAGGTTAGTCTGAAACAACTGCATAATTTTTGGAACACATCTTACGAACAGTCAGTTTTTTTTGCCTTTTTAAAGTCTAAAAATCATATATCTGTATTTAGATAAACCAAATGAACCACGAATTTCAAAGCTTCCGCAATCTGTGACTGCTAAAATTTCAACTCCCAGTAAATTGGTTCTTGAAATGGAAAATGCAGACGGTTATACAGTCCAGTGGTTCAGTGGTTCTAGTAAAGTTGAAAAATCTGACCGCATCAAATCAGTTAAATTTGGAAATGCCTTCAAATTAGATTTTAAGGTTATGCTTGCAAAAATACTTGCGCCTCCTTCTTTGAAAAATCTTCAGCAAACTAATTTTTAATCATTTCAGAGAAGTGATAATTGCAAAAATTTCACTATTTGACGAGAGAATTTTCAGGAAGTTCAACCTATTGATGAAGGAATTTACACAGTCAAAATAATCAAAGATAAGAAAGCAGTATGCAAATACGCAGCCGCACTGTTGGTTGAACAGTAGCCACCTACATCTTTAATTATTCTTTATCAAGCACTATAATTTATATTTTTCCTCGAAGCAAAGTGCCTTTCTCTTTTCTATAATCCATGTCAAATGAAATGTGATATTCAGTATTTATTCATGTAAGTGTACAAAAAAAATACACAATTCTTTGCTTATTGCACGTCTTACCGTTCAGCAGAACTCTTACCCATGCAACTTTATCAACGACTGAAATTCTCTCAACTGACTCATTGTCCTAAGCATATCTCAACAATGTAACCAAAGCTCTCTTTCCGAAGTGCTTTCGATATTCTTCTGAGTAACAGTTTTCAGAACAAATAATGCTAGTTACGCGATTCTCTAAAGTTTCATCTTAAAGCTACGGATCTTTCACATATTTTATTAACATAACAAACATAATCTCACACCTTACCACGAGAAATCATATGATATGAATCTGAATGGTAAACATGCCTAATTGCGTGAAAAGGTTTGGCAATCATAAAGGTATTTATATAAATCGTGCACCTAACAGGAAGTGTATTGCATATGATAAGCTCACATCCAACCTGCATGTTTGGAGAGACTGTACCTGGCCATGGAACGAGCCAGAACATGGACTTCACTGCTTTGAACATACAAGTGAGCTTGTGCTTCTGCAACTTCATAATGTACTTGTAGGAAGTGAATCCATATCTTCCAGGATGGCGGCAATTTTGAAGCAGGAAGAGACTCACAACACGTACTTGACATTTATTGTGTCCTACCTTCAGACTAAATACAACCTCATAAAAAATCCAACCGTCAAAAACGTATTAGCAGCACAGAAAGCACTCCTGTGTAGCAAGTAGAAAAGAATATTCGACATGCAAAGCTATACAAGATGCGCATAAATATTGCTATGTTTGGAAATATTTGCTATACAAAAGTGAAACAGGATGAAACGCGATACTGTCACCTTCAAGACAGAAATATGTTTGAACCGAGAAAAGTATGTGTCAACATTGTAAGGAAGTTGTGGAAACGGTGGACAATCTAGCAACGCAGTGCCAGAAAATGTCGTATCAAGACTATACTAAAAGACACAAACACAATGCGATGCATCCATTTAGAACTCTGCAAGAAGTATGGTCTAAAAACATTACTACGCATGCTTAGCCATTCCGTTCAGGAAATCGTCGCTAACGAGAACGTGGAAATCAGAGTCGATACGCGAGTAAGAACTGCAATTAGAATAAAGAACGGATCAACTGGACATCCTGCTATACGATAAGAACGACATGAAATAATCCTGATAGAGGCTGGCATCACTGGTCAGGACAGAGTGATAGCAGTAGAGAAGAAGAAGCGAAAATACGATTTACTGGCTAATAAACTCGCGGCAGATATGGAATGCAGAACGAAACTAATTCCGTGTGTGATGATTGGATAAGGGATAGTGGCGAACTTCCATAAACGTTATCTGAAAAAAATCGGTTATCTGATCAAATTGAGGCCGTATATCTAATCGATAGCACACAAGAAAAAGGTGAAAGCATCTTATTCGATGACCGCTATGGATTTCACGAAAATGAAGCAGAAGGGATCAGTACAGAATTGAGCACGAGGAGAGTGCAACAAGAACGCCAGAATACAATCCAGCGTCAGAATCAATAGTGCAAAAAGGAAAATTAACTTCTGTAAAAATGTTATTGTATATAATATCTAATAATTATTTAATTAATTGAGGTTGATTGCCCTAGATTGACTCTGAGGTAGTCGCGGACGATAGACTTTGCTGGTCGTGGAAGTAAGATATTATTTCTTCATTGTTTCTGATTTCCGTTCCTATTTTCTGCTCTACTATGCGATTCTGCTGTGGTGATGTCATGACGCTGTTATGGAAGTAATTGGAGAAAATAATATCGATAGCCAAAAGCGCCGAAACGGCGGAAATGACAGTAGCACTATGCAAAGCTCTAGCAGTCAACCATACCAGTTATCCATTAGCGAGGACACGTTTCTGAAGAAATTTCCTCTTCATAGGCGACTTTACAGAAGCAAAAAGCAGTAATGTGCCATACGGATTTGTGCTCACGTAAGAGCACCAAAAGACTCATGCAGTGGAATAATCATTAAATACTTTACTTTAATTTGACCATCGCATTCACATACACAAAACTGGATATAGGAACCTGAACTCTCTAAGTTAATAATACTTTGATAACTGCACAGATATGAATGGGTGTGGTGTGTGTGAAAAGAAGGGAATCCGTGATTCAGCGAAGAATTTTATAAATAATTCTGATCCTGCGAAGCGTTTTCACAATTTCGAAACTATAGAAATTATTTGCAGATGCAAAACAGACTTTTTCTTGAAAATACAATTCCACAGTGATATTCAGATTACTGTGGAATTGTATTTTCAAGAAAAAGTCATAAAATGTTAACACTGATACAATACTAATCAAATTGCATCTACTTATCAAATTAAATTCAGTCTAACAGTTTTTACGATTCAATTACTTACATCACTTATTAACGATCTGGAATTGAATTATGAGTATGGCAATTATAGTACAAAATTTTTTTATGAAGCTATAACTACAGTCTCTGCTTCATCAAATCTGCTTCCAATCAAATTTTGATTTCTGTTTTAAATTTTTTGACGGCAATTTCATAGTAGGATTAATTTATGACTGTTTTTTCGAATCATAGGTACTCGTTTACTTCATAAACTCAATTCTCAAGAACAATTAAGCATGTTACCAATATAAATCACTTATATCTGCAGAGGTTTTACACCTTAAGGAAGTGGGGATCAATATTTTCTGTATTCAAAAATTAATGCAGTATTCAATTTGATTACTGCTAACTAAATGAAAAGCAAAAATTTTACACAACCAAATCTTACAAATAATTTTTACAGATCAATTTTAGAGCCAAATTTACATATTCAAAACTTTGTATCGAGAAGATTCAATTTATTAAAAATGCAATAACGAAGAAGATAAAAGCGAAAAATTGTGTAAGGCTTTCTTTTTCTCAAAGATCGAAATGAATTATGCGTTTTAAATCCATCTATTTTTCTCGTTGACACTGTTCCATAACTATCCTTTTATGCACGGTGCTTTTCCTTTCTACAAAAACCATTATTTTACGGTGATCAATTAATAAATGCAACAAAAAAAAACGCACAAGATTTGGAAAATCGAAAATGGATTTATAATTTTCATTTTTATATTTCCGTCAAATTTGTTTCTAAAATTTAAAAAAGAAGTTGAAATTCCTGCTTAGCTATTTTATTACATCATTTAAGCAATGCCAAAAAAACCACTTTTTGAGTTTTAATTTGTAATTAATCCAGTTATGATTAATTTTTATGTGTGACTATTTTTCATAAAAATAATCAAATTTATAAATCAAATCGAAAAATTATAATTCAGCAAAAGTTTTTGATTATTTTCCCTATCAGTTAGCTGCAATCGTTTTTCCTCGTTGCAATGATGGATTACCATGAGCAGAGTTAAGTGGTCTAAACTGGTCATGGAAAAATCTCTCAATTCAGACTAAACGTTAGTTTTTACAAATGTTAGTCAGTGGTTAGTTGATAAAATGTCAAATTTATCAGTACATATGTGAACTTATAACTACTCATACCTAATTATAATTTCCTTAGCGAAAATGAATGAGTAAAATCATTCAAATTCAGTTAGAATAAATTTTGTTGTAATGATCCAAAATTCTAAATCATATCTGAATGAAGCTATCAGTAGTTGTCCAACACTCTCATAATATTTCAATTTGTCTCCACTCGTGTCACAATATCAATTTTATTTTTATTCAACTAACTAATGAAATTATGGCATGTTTAATACATTTGTATTTGAATCAAATATGTAATGTTTTTATCTTCTTAATCAGTTTGATCAAGTATAAGATCGTTTTCTTCTAAAGGTTTAATTATATCAAATTGATCGTATATCACTTAATTCATTTTTCTTACAGTCCAATTTTGTACATTACTGTATAATCTTGAACATATATTATTTATACCAATACTTACTTTAATAAACATCATTTTTTTTCCAAGAAATCTCAGTTGGAGTACTAATAGTTGAAGTTTCAGCAATAATATTCGCAAATATCATTTCTTCTAATACCGAAATTAAAAGTTGTATTGCTAAAGCAATGCTAACAGAATCCATTAAAAATGATATATTTGTACTCAGTTTCCTGACACAACCTTCTTGATATCGTCTAAATAAATTTATTACTAACTGATCAGATTTAAAACAGAGATCCTGAAAACCATCAAGATGAATAAAAGATTTTGTTATTTTAATATATTTTTCAGCCAAATCAAATTTTTCTTTCACCAAAATTACAATATTTGTAACTGTATTTTTTAGTATATTTTCATTAATTTTAAATCTTAAAGCAAATAAATTGTTCATAAGTGCTTCAATGTTCGCAGTAAGTATTAATGGGAGTAAAAACAAAAAATTTAATTTACATTTGCTGAGTAATATGAAGTGAAAGCAATTTTGGTATAATTATATCTTATATGAAGCAAAATAATCTCCTGAAAGTTTACTTTTCCGAGGGGCAGTGTTTATCAGTAATTGGACAGCAAGATAAAGGTGCTAAATTCTTAAATTCTTCTTCATTCCTTGGTTTCCAAATAAGTTGTTTTCCATCACTAAGCATTAATTTTATTTTATCTTCTAGCTGAAACACAAAGTTATTGATAATATTCAAAAAGCATAGTTTTCGGTAATAATTTTAAAAAATCTGAAATAATTATCTTTTCCTCAGAAGCATATCACTTTATCATTTATTTTGATTTTTTTCAAAATAGTTCGTTATTAAAATTATATAATAAATAGTAATGGATGGTACTTCAAAAACACTATGATAGCAAGTAATTTTGAAAAAATTTAAAATAAACATTTACCAATAATATTTCTTTGCAAATGTTAACTCATTATGCATTTTTAATTTTTTTAAATGACTATTTTTAAGATTAAAAAAACTAATTAATACATCTTTAATCACTTATAACTACGTCTTCTGAATCAAAATTCTGCATTAAAAACTATTCAAGCACAAGTAAATCTGATGAACAGCAATTAAAATTCCAAGTTTAACTTCTTTGCACTTTATAATTAAATGATTAAACAATTGCAACAAAACGAACTGATCATTTGTTGTTTGTTAATTAATTGATTAATTGATTTATTAATTATATTATTAATTACTAAGTGAAATTTGGTAAAATATGTGCAGACATATATTTTCAATTAGAAATGCGTTTCAATAGTAACAAACTATTATTTTTAAATTGACTTATCAAATTTTCATCAATCACATTTAACAGAAGGAATGATTACAGGATCAAAATAATAAATTGTCTTATATTCGACCCATTCACTCTGATTTCCCATAAAGCCACAACACTGCATGCTACTTTGCATTTCATCGATTGTATGCATAAATTTTTCTCGACCATTAATTAGCAATGTTCCTGCACCTGCTATTAAGGTTGAGGAAACTTCAAATGAGTTCAAGCTTATTGATACTGAAATTTTAATAACTTAATTAAAATTTATACAACAGTAATAATTTATTTTTGTAAACTTAAAAGTAGTAAAAAATTACAAATTAAAAAAATTGCAGACTAAAATGGGATTAAAAATAAAATAGTGATAAAGAATAATTAAAATAAAAGCTTAGGCAGGTGATAACTAAATACAATAATTATATTTTTCAAAAAATTATAGCATAATGGAGAACAGCTACTAAATTAATGAATACATGCATCTGCATCAATAATTTTAATAATAATTAAAAATGCATGATTTTATCGATAACTGAGTGTTTCTTAACAATTTATAAAATGAATTTCAAACCTAAAAATAAGTAAATAATCAGAAAAATGAATAATAAAGCGAAATCCACGGATAATGATATTGCATACTGAGCATAATTTTTACTCATGAATGTTAGCAACGATATGAGTTGCGCTGTAATGAAGATTGTTTCCATGCCACAAAATGAATACATGAGCAAGTGAAGAATTTGCAACAACTAAAAATTTTTAATTGAAATTAAATTTATTACCAATTAAAGTGAAAGAATTTTTCATTCTAAATCTCTTACTTGATAAAAGATGACTAAAGTGTTCAGTTAGTTTATGTAGTTGTTTAAAAGCTGCAAAAACAAGAAAACGCCTTTCGACTTCACAAGTAGATTTACTAATTAGTCTTCAAATCAGATTTAGAAAGCTACAGTAAATAACAAAATAGTCTGCTTTTTTAAATGTCCCAATTATGGTCATATAATAAATTCGTTTCCCATTTATTTTGTCCAGTAAATTTAGCCTAAAGCAAATCAAATACAAATATATTCCTACAATATACGAAGATAGTTAAGCTGAATAATCTTGTTTAAAAATCTCTAACTGATTGTTAGTTAGTTTTGATAAAAACCAATTTCTCAACTATCAATTTTCAAAGTTTTTAAAGATTGATACAGTTTGTGCACTAAAACTGTGCTTAGCAACATCATAAATTCGCTGTACAGGTCGAATATATTTGATGGTAAAATTCACTGACATAAATATTATTGTTATGCACCTGAAATAGGCCAAGAATTTGTTTAACAACTTCTTATTCTTTTTCTAAAATTCACACCCTAAAAACTTTTCGAAGAAAACTTCTATATGATAAAAATAAAATGTATGCAAAGGATAAGCTTTCTGATTTACTTTGGAGCTTAGTTTTAAGTGAAAACACAAGTTGCATTGAAAAGGTATCAAATCTCTACGCTCAAAAAAAATTGCTTTCCTTCGATAGTTTCTGTAATAACTAAAATTTTTGAGTTAAATTTGCACTGAAAATTCTAAAATTCTATGATAAAATTTTTTGAAAAGAACAAATTGAATTCTTTATTGCTGCGAGGAAAATTTAAAAAAAACTCCCAAAGTGTAACTTTAACTTATCTAGACAATTTGGCTCATATAATAAAAGTTGCAAAGGTGTTATTTAATATCGTTTTAATATGCGGAAAACATTTTGTTACTTTGCGTAGTAATCATCGCAAAGAAATTAGTTCTAATCTTGCAAAATCCTTCCCTGACTTTTCAGTTCTTACAAGCTTTTTCTTTTATTAACTCCGTTCAACACAATTATATTTAGAAAGTAAAATGATGGATTTCTCTGCCATTTTTTTACTGTTTAAAAGTATTTTTTAGAATATTAATTGAGAGTTTTAAATAAAAATTCTGATAATCAAATAACAAACATTAATATTCGAGCAATAGTTGCGCAAATAATTACGATAAAAAATATTTTGTAACGGCGCCGTTTGTTTCGTAGTGATATGCTGTAATTAAAGCCGGTTTATCCGAGGAATTATATGAAGAAATACATTAATGTTTGTATAGAATTAAATACGGTAATTCGGTTACAAATATCAGTTAAATTAAGTTTGATAATCAAACTGATAATTTTAAATGTGAGCAAATTTTATAATGATTATAAGAAAGCAAAGACGTAAACTTAATATTATATTATTAGTTTCACTTGCTTTGGGAACCATCAATAATTATTTTAATGAATTTCCAGGAGAAATTTCCATATTAAAAAGCTTAAAATGTCTGTTATGACTATTTAGACTTCTTATCTACTTTTACACAAGTTTTTACAAGTACCGTTTTTATTGTGCTTTTAAGCGTTTAACCTTCATCTTATCTTGTGAGAACGTTTTTTAAATACAGTTATAAAATATATGCATATTTTGATATTATCATTTTTTGCACATACAAAGATGGGATTGTTTTAATAACCAAAAATTATGAATAAATTTCAAATTTATATTTATACCGCAAGAAGTTTAATGAATACCTCGATGATTGTTCATCAAATTGCTGGTAATCTGCAATAGATCTCTAATCTATTTGTGGAAATCATCATCTACAATCTAGTGATCTTTTATATTAAAATATATTATCATCTTTTAGATATTTTAATGAATATTAAGATATATAAATCATAATATTTAAGTTCATAGATACTAGTAATCGATCACTTCTTAAACCAATTTACTTGAAAAATAAATCAGACTCAATGTTTTTGGATGAATTTTGACGAATAGCTTGAAAAATATTCATAGGTATTATGTCTGTCATTGGATTTGATTTGCTGCTACATTTAGTAATGACAATTGAATTATTAGATGGTTTCAGTGTTTTTATAAGAAATTAATTCTCCAAAAGTTTCATTACTTTTAGAAAGTTCTATGACGGTCATGCTTTTGCACCATTTAATGTTATCATCTAAGTGTAATTTTAAAAAAATGGAATATCTTCTGAACCATTTAATTCTCAACTTTAAAGTTTAGTGAAACTAACTTTGTTGATTATTTTTCAGAAGATCAGCTGATCGACTGATCTGAGTTTGTGATCGGCTCATCACTCTTGTTTCAGCTAAAAAAAACATTTTCATTGATATTAATTAAGAAATTAAAAATGATGAGGCACTGGCATTTGTTAAAATTACTCACAAATTCAGCATTATGTATTTTTGTTATAAAAATAATAGCCTATTTTGCTTATAGGAAAAGATGACAATGAACTAATCGCAACCGCTTCAAGAATACCTCAAAACGTAAATGAATCCATTTAAATGCACCAAGTGTTTTTTCCATAACTGAAATGAAAGTCCAACTTTTGTAATCTCTTAGTTATGCAAATTATCATGTTGAACAAACAATTCTTATTATTTAAAGCATTCGTTTGACTGTGGCAATGATGTCTTGAATTTCGAGCAATAAAATTCTAAAACTTTTTTGCTATTACAATCTTGATATCTGTTTCAATTGGCATTTAATACTCAGAAGTTTGAAAATATTAACTGCATACAGCATAGACAAGGATGGTCAGATCTCAAAAAAATGACATTATAAATCAAAAACAAACTGAAATGAATCAACTGAACCAACAAATTTTAAATACGGATAAAATAGCAAGCTCATTAATTCATATCATATGAGGAACAACTTTTTCACGTTGTGAGAGAGCATTTCGAATGAATAATTGCGTGAACTTGTGATTGCAGAGCACAAGGCTTGTAGTAAATCACTTGTAAGTGCATGAGTAAATAAGTTAATGTTAGGAAAATAAACTTGCTGGATTCTAAAAATAAAAGTGGAGATCTGAAACGAATGGAGAAAAACTTTGAATCAAACACAGCATAAACATATCTTTAAACTAATTGCTAAATTCCATAAGCATGTATCTAGGCATGCGACAAAGCAAGCAATAACCACTGAGAATGAGAGCACTGACAAACTTGACCCTAACAAGTAACCAGCATCTGCACTGAGCAATACCAACTAATAATCCAGCATTTTATTCAATAGATGATGTGATGTGGTACGATAATTCCACAGTAATCTGAATATCACTGTGGAATTGTATTTTCAAGAAA